ACAGGTTATACAAGCAGATGCATTGTTTAAATTAAGATCATTTTGAAGGCAATAACTTCCACAGAAAGAAATCCTGAGGACGGGGCTACCTCCCCTGCCAACGCACCACTGCTGGCAGGTACTTTCCGTCTGATGAGCTCAAACACAAATGAACTACGGTTTCAGGACCAAGCTGTCAGCAGGTAACTGCCATTATACCCATTCTGACCACAAATGTCAGACCACCACCAGGTGGGCAGTTGGCTGCAGACTGGGAAATGAAGCCCAGAGTCCTGATTTCGAACTGTGCTTTGAACATTTCATATTTTAGTGGTTTCTGACTCTTCATCTTCACTGCCTCTTTCCCCACATGGACATATACTCTGGGCAAGTGGTATTCGTCAAGCTCATGCCTGGACGTTCGTGAGAAACCAGGCCAACAGCATGGTGCCATGCATCCCGAGGGATGAGCACGCCGGAGGACAGGTTGAGGGCCTGATGCATCGTTTGGGCAGGCCAAGCCTGGAGAGTTTGGGGGAAAGTAAAGCTAAACAGGAGGGAGAGCAGTCTGCTGGTGAGATTCTTCCCTTCACCTCCAGAAACGATGACCACTTTAGATGCCCTATTGTGAAGTGCAGTGTGTGGGACAGTCCTTCATCACCACTCAGAAAACGAACTGTTTGAGATACCCGGTTGAACATCCGTATAACCACGTTAGTAGCGGATCCTGAGAACCTCTGCTAAACCCGCCTTCCCTTAGAAAAAGCCGAGAACACGTACGTGTAGAGAAAGTGTGATTGAAAGCCACTATTTGTTTACATTAACAAAACAGTCTCGAGGACAGGATTTCTTTTAACCACAAAAGACAAGGAGGAGCAAACTAATTAAAAATAGGTCAGCAACAGACTTGGGAACATCCTTGTGAGGATTGAAATGAAATGTAGTCCTGGAAGCTCGAGCCATATAAGCAATGCATAAATTGGGAGCGCTGGGCTCTTCAGTCTTACTTCTATTAAAAAGAAACCAATGGAAGTTAACCTGTTAGTGCACGGCGGCAGCACGTCACCCATCTCCTACGAAATGGCACCATGTTTAGGTTATGACGAGGAAGGGGAGGTGAGGGAGGTGGAGGAAGGTGCGGGGGTGGAAAAAGGGGGAGGCAGTGAAAGTTAAAAAAAAAAATCTCTGCCTCAGCAAAACTTTTCATTAAAATTTTAGACAAATGATCTCTGTGTCCTTCTCCCATGCTGCCTGGGGCTCCATGCTATTTCTATGCAAATAACAACCTCGTGGTTTATATCTTATTATTTCCACCGGAGCTGCGGCGACATGACCCGAGACGTGTGTGAGGTAGACAGCGAAAGAGAGAGAGGGAGAGAAAGAGAAGGAGAGGGAGGGAGAGAGATGGAGTGGCTGCTCGCTGAAGTGTGAAAAAATATTGTCAGGAGTGAGCAGCAAGAACAAAAAAAAAATTGCAGGGATAACGTGTTTATTTCAGCCCCTCTCCCCATGTGAACCAGCATCTTTTAAAATTCATTGGGCATCAGGCGATCATGCACAATCCATCTGCTTTCACTTTATCATTTGCATTTCATGCCTCCTGGCTTTTGATGTGCTGATACTTTGATGCAGTCAGGAGACGCGCATTATCATTATTTCAATTTTCAGGGGGGTCAGCGGGCTCAGCACAGGCGCGCGCACACGCTCACAGGAGAGGAATGAAATGTCATTTCCACCTCTCCACCCCCTGCTGAAACGCAACGGTGAAGACAAAAGGGGTACAGATGAAACGCAGCCCTGGTGCCCCCCACACAGAGCACTGTCCCCACCCCAGAGCATCACACCTTTTCCCCAGGTCTCTCCCTTGCCTGTCGGTCCGGACTACAAACAAAGACAGCTTCATCAGGAGCAGAGGGAGACCTTGTACAGCTCTTGTGCAGCTTCTTGTCACCCCTGACAGGCAATGGGGCTGAGAGAATCCTTAAACCTGCCTGCTATCAGGTGTCTTACAGCGATACGCCTCTCCGCTTACAAAGCAGGGACACGGACGCAGCGAACAGCCAGCACGTGATTAGGCAACCTCCAGAACCAAACATTAGCTTCAGCTAAAAATGGTATTGACCTTGAGCTCATCATCTAAGTTATAGGTTACAGTCTGGTTTTGGCAGCTGGACCTTTCCCTCTACACCTAAACCCTCAGGCTGGTTTTACATAATGATAATGAACAAGACCAGCAATGGATCTGCTGGCACGTAATGTTTGTCAGAGTCCCCCTCTGCTCCCTCTGTAATTTAAAAGGAATCCAGCATTTCACGGGAAAAAAATAATTTAAAAAAAAAATATAATCAAACAACTTTCCAGAAAAAGCCTCACTGCTCTCCGAGAGCCTAATTGTCTCCATTGCTGCAGCAACATTTTTGCACTGCACATTCTGTTCCTGAAGAGAGAAGACATTTTGAAGAGGTGTATGCAGACACAAGAATTACATGTAAGCTTTGTACAGCACCCTCTATGAAGGCAGTAATTAAAAGCCAGCAATGGAAAAAATTGACACCTAATTGGGAAAAGCTAAAGGAATATTTGCATGCAACTGTACCAGAAAACATTCATTTCCAGCTGCCATGCAAGGTAGCAGCTTCCTTTTATTTATCTTTGTTTCAGTCACAATCTTTCCTGTAAGACCCAGCCAGTTGGACAGGTGACCTTCTCATTGCCACAAAGCAAAGCGCTGACTCCGCTGCACAGGGCTCTTCTTGCCATCTAGTCCGAGGGACAAAGCAGCAGCAAGGCTCGCTTGCTCCACAGACAAAAACCACAATAGGTTTCCACCATAAGACCCTTCTGGAGTCTTATTCATGCAAGTGAGTAAGAACACACCATCTATCACACCCAATCAGCCTCTGCATTCCCACAAGGGAAGACTTTGCTTAACTGGCCCCTGGCTGATAGACACCTGTCTTCCAGCCAAAACAAAATCCAAACTGTCCATCTAAATTCAAGGGACAAGTGTTTAACTGCTGACATACAGGAAGACAAGGGATGTGTCTGAAGCAGACACTGGCTCCATGGCAGGATGATGCAAACACATCAGCATTCACCCTTTGCTTCCCAGTCTTCTCAAGATCTCAACTGGACTGAACTTGGTCGTTTCGTGTCAGCACTGGACATCATTTCACTACTTCAGACACACTTCTGGGACACAGTTACACTGGATCCATTAAAGAAGCTCTGACCCAAACTTCAGGGACTGGAAAATGAAGATCACATGAACTAGCAAGACACATCACACAACACCCAGGTCCCGGTCTCTCACTATTCAAGGACAGGTAAATGTATTGGTGGGTCTGGGCTTAGCTGCCTTACTGCGAGAGCTGGATTGGATGCAATGGGTTCCTCCTTTGCCTGACCTTTAGGCAGGTAGAGGTTCAGTGCCTACATAAAATATATGCCTTTCCAACAGAGCAGGGAGGAGAGAAAAGGACACATGGGATTATTCAGCCCACTAAAATTCTTGGGATGGGATAAATCCCCCCCCCCCAAAGCAACTCCTGCTGCTTAAGCCTGCTGACAGATGTCAGGTGCTTATTCTAGACTAAATCCTTACTTTTTAAGTGCCTAAAATTTAGTGAGATTAATCTAGTCCTATAAAAACAAGTATTCACTCTGCTGGTAGAGATTGCAGTTAAACCTGGAAAGAATTGAGCAGAAGAGGAGGACTAAACAGACTGGCCGTGCCATCTGGGAAACTCTGCAGGGCCCCGATCCCCAACAAATGACAGCTGGAACCAGGCAACTTACTCCACTTCAGCAAGCACTAAACTGACTCAATTTCTTTTTAAAGGATGGATCTTCAAATGCCTCTTTTCCTACCATTGATGCAGGTGTGTGTGATGTGTGTAAGAGATCTAACTGAGGGTGCTGCATCCTAGAGTTGATAGGATCAATGCTTCATTTTCTGCAGAGCCCCCTTTATTCAGGGGAATAATTCAACGAGAGACTATTTTCCTTTTATCTCCCATTGTCAGGCAGGCACTCCTTGAAGTGCAGCTTGCAATGAAGCACAACCACCCCAGGTGCTGGAGAGTGCCTGAGAACAAAGCTGCACAATGGGGAAGGGCACTCGTGCCCGCACAATCCTAACTCCCACGTAAACAAAGCCCTCAGTGAGAGGGACAAGAGCGGAGTCGGCTGTGAGCCGTGTCTGCTGCAGACAAGGAGCTGGAGGCTGTGATATTAATAGGCTTGGGGCAGCAAGGGAGAAAAACCACCTCTGGTAGGGAAAAAAAAAAAAAAAAAAAAAAGAAGAGACACTTTAGTAGTGAAAGCCGTAAGTTTTCTTACAGCCTGAGCTGTTCCTCCCTGCCCCCACAGCTGAGTTTTGCAGCAGGTCTGACCCCTTGCAAACCACCATCCACACACTCTTTTCTCAGGCTCCCTCAGTATTAATTCAATGGCTGTGGATGGCTGAAAGTGCAGCCCACGTATTTTGAAACACGGTCTTCCAGACACCAGGAACAGCCCTGTTCCCTCTATCGCAGTACAGAGCGTGTAGGAGAAGATGCTGCCCAGTCAGCAGGCTTCTCCGCTTCGGTCATTTAGCCCTTGCCCACAACCTATGTTAAAAGCTGCTTCTCCTCCTTCCACTTCACCTGGTTCGTGCTCAAGCCCTCAAATCTGCAGTTCTGCCTAGGTCCCCTGCCAATCTCCAACCAGGAGGCCTGGAATAGTGCCTCTGGCTTGTCAATACAATGGTCTTGTCAAGAAAACCAGGTGCATGAAAGGACTGCTTTCTGACCAGAGAGAAAAGAAAAAAAAAAAAGTCTACAAAGGCATGGAAAGTTTCACAGCTGCTGCTGTGTCAGCTCTCCTCCTCCAGCAGGAGAAGCCCGAGAAGGGAGAGAACAAGAGGGACCAAGCGCAGTGACAGGTACAGTGGGGGCAGCTCCTTGAGTCTCTGGTAGCACCCACGGAAACACCAACCCAGCTCACACATCTCAGAAGACTGAAATGCAAAGACTTACTTTGTTGAGCGCTCCACAGCCAGTCAGGATTATATGGGAGTTCTCAACCTGGATAGTCCTCTGACCGAGCCGAACAAGGTAAGCCCCAATTCCAATTGCCCGACATGTAACCTTAAAAAAAAAGAAAAAAAAAAGAAAAAAAAAAAAAGAAGAGATCACATTGATTTCTGTCTTGCCACACAGCCAAAACCTATCGATTCAAACATCTAGATAAAACCAGGCACGTTTGTATTACAAGGCTATAAAATCTACTCTCACTGCAAAACTCCAGAATCTACTTTTTTGTACAACACAGTTTCTGAAATGTATTTTATTTTTTAAAAAAAAAAAAAAAAGAAAAGAGAAGCAGTAACTTACAGACTGAGCAAACATGAAGCCAAATGACTGTTTTCTAAAAGCGTTTTAAATTTAGTCTGAAAGGGACCCAGCCCTGTAACGGTGCCAGTGGTGTTGCTCAAAGCCTACAGAAGCCAATTTACATCAACCAGAAGCCTGATCCCAGATGTATCTTCTGGATACCGCTGCAGGATTTTTAGCGGAGACAATGCAGTTCGAAGAACAGAAAGCAGTGGGGGATTACCAAGTTGATGGTGATAATGCTCTCATAGGCTAAAGACGACTCTCCAGCAATCATGCCAGATCCTCTGAGGTTCTCTGTTCCAAGCCCGTCTTCCTTTCCGATAATATCTGTTATCTTATACCTGAGGGAGACACACACAGCCTTTGAGTCACAAGGTCCAGTGATTTGCTGAATCAGTTTGCTACGAAGAAAATGAAAAGTGACTAAACATCATTAAGGCTCCAAAGAGTAACATGCATAAAATCTGGCCAGGACCTGTACACGGGCTCATCCTGCAGCCTTGCTGAACACCACGGAACAGTCCTACACAGGAGCAGCCAAAGCAGCACTGCAAAGAAGAACTGCCAAGGGAGAGGAATGCCCGTGAAAAGTGTTCTTCTGTCACTCTCACAGGACGTGAGGAGCAGACTGATTATAGGAAAAAGGGCAAGAAAGGAAGAGAGCGCAGCCAAAAGGAAAAAGAGACAGAACAGGAGATTACAATGAGGCTCTTAACTTTTCTTTACTTCCATACCTTCCTTCCTCAGCACAGCCCCTTCTTGCCCAGTGCTCTCAGACTGGCTCCTCTCTTCTCCACTGGGCCCTTGCTAAGCAAAGTACTTGAGCATGTGCTTAAGTGTTTCACTGAAGAGAGCCACCAGCTTCCCCACCACACACGCAGGCACACACACGTCCCCACACCAGCCTTTTGGTTTTTTCAGAGCTCGCCAGTCTGCAAACTAGGCTTTTTTTTTTTTTTCTTTTCCTTCTAAGCACATCCTCCTCCCTCTGCCCAGGAGCACCACTACAGCTGCAGTCTAGCTCTGAAGGCTTCTTTGCATCTCATTTTCAGATGTAGCTGGGAAGACGCAGACACCTAGAGCAGACGTGTATGGGAAACCACAGGCTACGTGGCAGTTGAGCGCAGCCATGACTCGGGCCTCTAGGCAGTAGGAGTCAACAGGGCACCACCTCAAACAAGGCACGTCGTGGTAACAACTCTTAACTCCCTTGTTCCATGCTCTGACCACCCACAGACATGGCTTTCTACAGACCTGGACCCTACAGAATGCCCAGGCTGAAGACGAGGCGGTGACACGCACCACCTTGTATACCCACGGACGAACGGAAAGCTTTTCATTCTGACCTGCCTGTGCTTACCTGGACTCTCCATTATCCTCCACATGCTCACAGTGAACGGAGTTCAGGGCACTGACTTTCTTATAGTCTTGAGGAGTCAGGTACAAGTATTTGTATCCCTGCAGGGAAAAACAGTTCATTCACCTCATTCCCACCTGTAGGCCCTTCCCGATCCCCAGTAACCCCTTCCAAAAAGGTTTCAAGGGAGCAGAATTTAATTCCACACAGCGGTAAGAACATCCTCTCTCTTAACACTGGAGCGCCAGGTGAGGTCAGTGAAAGCTAGAGACGTTTTCCACATTCAGCACTAACTCATTCTGGATGCCAGTCCGGCCGCCTGAGAGATCCACTACCAAGGAGAAGTTTGGACCTAACAGTCTGGCAAACAGTTACCCTCACTTCTATTAAAAGAGGCAGTGTAAAAATAAGACCTTTTGTGAGCTATTGCAGAGTTTCACCTCTGATTCCTGTGCCTCCTTACCTTGTATGGGTCATCTGGGTCTTCCCAAGCTACGTGGAACATGTGTCGAATCTCCTCAGCCAAACCAATCCTGGCTCCACTGTTGGCAGCCACATAGATACGGGGGATACCGTGTGTTCGAGCAAGCTCCGAAGCCCTCAGGAACAGCAGGTCCTCTTGAGGCCCAAAAGAACCTATTCGGTACGTAATGTCATTGCCAATGACAATGATATCGCGGCCTTCTGGATACTCGGGGGTCTTCAGAGTCATCTTCCAGGCCACCATCCCAATCTGCAACCAAAGAGCAGAGAACAACAAAAACTAAATGTGTATCTTCAAGATGTGAAAGAGGGGAATCACGCAGGGGCCGTTTTTGGTACGTGTTGCACTTGGTACGAATTCTCCGGGAACTCCGGCAACAGCAGCTCCGGCACGCGCTGCCGGTGTAGAGCACAGCCGGCAGGACTCGATCCTTTCCACGCTCGCGGGAGCACATCCTCCACCGCGCTCTTCCCACCCAAGACACTAACACTGGCCCTCGCTCTCCCCATTCAGGGATTTGTCACAGGTCCAAAGCACATTCTGCAAACACCCCTCTCGCCGGGAGCTCGCGTGTGCCAGAGCTCACAGGGTGAGGGTGGATGTGCTGCTGTACAGGACTCCTGACCATCGGCTTAGGCTACCCAGATATCACCCCAGAACCTCGTCACCCTGGTTCTCTCCCTCACCCTGCCCTCATTTTAATAATCCTTTTATTTCACAACTACCTCTATTTTTTTTTTTTTTCTGTTTTTCCCTTCATTTCTTTGGCTCTTCCCTTTTTCCTCCCCAAATACTGCAGCAGTTTCTTCCCAAACCTGCCTGAATAAGTAATGCTGTTTGCTGCATATTTTTCTTTTTAAAATCACCAGATGATCTCTTCTGGCCCATCTTATGGAGATCAGTAACATCTGTACCCTGCATCTCCGATCTCTCAGCTGCCGTGTGTCGCGGCACGGGGGAGCTGGCCATCCTGGAATGCCATTAACAGACGGAAATAGCAGCGTCCCTTGAAAGCCACATGCATCACCCAGTCTCTGCTTGCCCAAGGATCATAAGCTCTGAGTACACATTCCTCAAGCCGATTGCACATCCTCTGCAATCAGGAGGGTTGAAACTCTCATTGTGGAGACTCTGAATTCTGAACATGATGAACTAAAGCGGGAGGGGGAGAGGGGAGAAGCAGCAGATAGATATGTGCCATTTAATCCAAATCAAAATGGCACAATACACAGTTGAGATCCAATCAGCATCTGCAATAAGATATGCCATAATAGGCTCATTAAAAAAATAAAAAGGCAGAGGAATTAATCAAAGGGTCATTGGAAGTAAAGCAGGCAGCAATCCAAAAATATTACAACCGGCTACTGGCAGATCCTTCCCTTACACCTCCCCTTTCGAGAGCTGAGATTGCAAGTTAACAGAATGATGGTGTTTCTGTTCACCTTCTCCTTGGTCTCAGTTTCACCCACAGCTATTTTGACTGAGACGTCGTAAGGGATTAATTTGTTTGCCTCTGAATATTTGCAGATTTACAGTTACATCTCAGCATCCAACTGCAGTGTTTGGAAGAGAGAGATACTGCAGCAGTTGCAAAGACAGGAGCATAAATCCCTAAAAGTCAGTGGGAGGCTTTGTTAAAATACCAGTATTATCGTCAAATTAAAGGGAAAAGTTGTAAAGCTGTAAAAGTTGTGGATGCAGCTGTTGGTCAGGCACACAGACCAGAAGCGTGCGCAAAGAGACCAGGGGTCACCCAGACAACCAGCCCAGAGTCTGGAAGAGCAACCTCGTTCATCCTAAACCAACCTCCAGGGCCAGAGGGGTTCCCTGGACTTCTGTGCTTCTACTGCTGGCCTTTCATAGCAGAAAAAGGAAGAATAAAGATGAAAAAAGGACAAGTAAGCTTTGCCCTTCTGACCTGCTGCAGGAAAAGAGATGCCAGGGGCTGGATATTGTGTCTCTGTTGTAGCTCTCAACTGTGGGCAAGCTTGCAGTTAGAAACAGCAGGTTAAAAAAGTCTGCAAATCCAAAGTTAAAGGCTTCAAGATTCGCCTCTAAGAAACAAGAGATGCCACTCTATACCCCATCACCTACTACAGCTCAGCTCCTTTCCATATTTTACAGGGTTGGGTTTTTTCCCTGCTGTAACTAAAATCCTGAAGCGGGGACTGACCAAATCTTACAGAGACCACCTCAGAAACCACCTCTAGTTATTGATAGAAACCCACAGGGAAGATGGGGTAATCATCTTTTTAAAACTGCACTGAAAACGTCTTCCAAAACAGCACAGAAGTAACGCTAATTTACAGGGTTTTGCCTAAGCAGTCGTTTCCTTACAGCTACCCTGATCCCATCAGCCAGGACCGCACCAGGAAGCTTCAAGCGACAGGAGAAATGCTCAGGCGCTGTATTTGCTAAATACTTGTCTCTGCAGCAAACTGCAAGATAGAAACACATAAAGACCCTGCCAGAAACCGACGCAATAACCACAACACACTGCAAGTAAAATTCCCAGCACCCTCAGTTCACGAGCGAGGCAGATGAATTAACGCTTGCTCCAGGGCTGCGGGACTGGTGGCCGAGCTCGGTCAGTATCCAGGACTGGTCCCGCAGTCTGTCTCACCTATCAGGACGCTAAGAGATTTTCCTCACTTTCATCAGCTTGATGAATTTTGACAGTACATGAATCAGGCAAATTAAAAGCACCATCTATTTAGAAAACTCAGATTGTAACGGAAGTCTTGGTATAGCTCCCTAACCCGAGATCGTGTACCCCCTCCATAAATAAAATCCCTTTTGTTAAGGCTCACTAGTGGAATAGGAAAAAAACTACCCGGCCAGGGCACAGTAAACACAAACTCTTGAAAACAGTTTATAGCTGATAAATATAGAGCAACCCTACACAGTTTAAGAGAAGAAAAATTAGAGCTCGCCACTTTATTAACTTGTACGTCTCTCTGCCTCCCCAACACATAGCGTGTTTTGTGCCATTTATCCAGTAATAAAAATCACAGGGCACAACTAAGGATTTTTTTTTTGCTATGAACAATGTAGATTCTGTTAAAATTTATGGGCAGTGGAGGATAGCTTTCTATTTCAGAAAAAAAAAAAAAAAAGGATGAGATTTTTAAGTTAACGGCAGCATGCCAAAAAATGGAGAGTTCACAGGTTAATTAGACAGGCTGAGCTAATCACCTAAGAGCGCTGTCAGAACAATAATGGGTGATGGTAAGCGGCAGTGGCTTCAAAACAGGCTCCTTCTAAGAGCCAGCGCAGTTTGGAAGTGCTTCTCCTGCCACAGCTCTATTCCCAGCACACCCAGGAATGAAGAAGAGAGGGAGGGAAAAAAAATAAAAGCAGGAACCGTCTTATTTAACTGTTTTTATGTTGGCAAAATGATTTGTGCCACAGTATTTCCATAAGAAGTGGGACCATTATTCTCCTGTAGGAACACATTTGGTTTGAAAAGTATCACTGGACAGAACGTGAAAATCAAACCAGATGAATTATTCACAACCCCCGATCAGAAGTGATCATTATTTCTGATGTTCCAAACTGTGATTAGGATTCAGTGCTCAGATGTCATTTGCTCCCTGAATAGCAGCAGCAATGCCGAATTGCATGACACACATATATTACACCCAAGTTTTATATATATAATTTTATACACACCTTCTCCCACTAGATCTTGGGCTTAATGTAACCATTAACAGACAGTAAAAACACGATATTAACTAACGCTCGTTTTCATGGTGCTCATAAACGCCATTAGTTTGACGCACAGTGTCAACACTAATCATGGCCTAAAATTAACACCAAAATTGACTTCAACATTAATTGCGCTATCGATGTGAACAGTAATACACACGCTGATGCAGTTACAAATCGACTGCTGGTGGCAGCCGGAGCTGTTGACAACAGGCACCAAGGGGAATGCGGGAGAAACCGATCCCAGTCTCGCTCCTGGAAGCTCCGAAGGAAGGGACGCCAAGGCAAATGGTGGCCGGGGCTCAGGCCGAGGGAGCGTTTAAGTCTCGTTGTAGCAGGATCTGTAATTCCTGGAGAAGCGCGGCTGACAGAAAATCTGATGTAGACGGGAACAGCTTATTATTTGACAGCATCTACGCTTGAGCCATGCCAATTGTGTTGGTTTATTCTGCTTCTCTCACAACAAGGATGATGCTTGAGCCCAGGTACTTTATGCCATGCTTCGTTTTACCTATTTATGTCCAAATTTGGAAACCTGAATGCGGGTCTCAAAATCTCCAAGTGGGATAACTGAACTTACAGAACCCTGACAACAATTTTGTCTTGTTCCCATTCTGTTGCATCTGTAAGTTTATAGGATGTAAGTTTTCTGTGTAAAAACACATGTATGAAACAGGAATACATTTGTATGTCAGTGTTTGTTACATACAAAAGTTATAATAAGAAAGGAAATGCAACAGTTGTAGCTGTCTAGCACGCGAGCACTGGAAACGCCGAAGCTGAACATTAATGAAAGCACATTTCTCCCCTGCTGTGCAGGCACGTTCTGGCACTGTTAAATCAAGGAACACGTGCTTTATTCCCGCTTCACAGCCTCTGTCTATCCTGGAGGTAATCCAGGGTCCACTGACCCCAGGATGCTGAATCACTCCGCTGCACGGTCGTGGACAAGGTATGTTTTAGAAAGGGAACAAAGACATCCCCAGAAATTTTACTTGATGCCGATGGGTATTTCATCACGTGAATCTGATGCTGGGAACTTCAGATCTAACATACTGTGACCAAAGTTGTACAACTTCTATCTTCAGCATGAGCCAACTCCCAGAAAAAGGGCACGATGCACGTGGTTTGCTAGAGGCATTCGGGCTTAATACCTTGACGAGGGTGGAGTGCCAAAACCCAGGATTCCTTCACTCTCTTCTTGGCTCTGAAAAAGGTGTCATTTAGCGATGAAGGCAGTGGTTGCGGGCGGCAGAGCCAAGCACACGTTGGCACGGTTCTTCTGAACAGCACGCGGCCGAGTAGATGAGAGATGGGAAGAAACGGTTCCAGGGCGAGGCGTGACAAAGGCTGGCTCAGGAAAAGGCACCGTGCAGCACAGTGGAGTGAAGGAGACGTGATTTCGCCCTGCCTTGGTTCCTCGCACTAGACCGAAGGGCACCAGGAAGCAAGCCAGGAAGCAAACCAGCAAAAGGCTGCTTCAGGAAAAGCGGATGGACACACAGAGCACCAAAAGGAAAGCTCAAAAAAACCCCGTTAAA